AAGCATAACTGGTCTGCCCTCCGGGACTTCGTTAACTGGATGAATTCCCACTTTGGCTATAAGGTAAAGAAGATACGGTCTGACGGAGAGCTATTTACGAAAAATATCTTAAAGTGGCTTCGAAAAAGGGGCATTTTACCCCTCCCGTTAGCACCGAATACCCAGGCCTAGAACGGAGGGGCAGAAAGATCAGGGGGTGCTGTGATAGAAAGGGCCCGTACGATGAGACTTGCTGCGAGGCTTCCCTACGACCTTTGGAGGGAAGTCGTTGAGACCGCCTGTTACCTTCGGAACCGGACCCCGAGGGACCCTAAGGACCCTAGGGAACTAAACCAAGGAACAGACTGGAAATCCCCCCTCGAGCTCTTTACGAAGAAAAGGGCCTCGCTAGCCTACCTTCGTGCCTACGGCTGCAAGGCATACGCAATGACTGCCGATGCACAGCTAAAAAGGAAGAAGAAAAGAAAGCTTGATCCTAGAGCCTTTGTTGGTTACCTCGTTGGTTATAATTCTACGAATATCTTCCGGATCTAGATTCCTCTTCTACGGAAGGTTATTTCGACTAGGGATGTGATTTTCGACGAATCTAGCTTCTTCGACGGAAAGAGGGATCAACAGCCCCTCTTACTCTCACAACGTTAGCTAATTCAGAAGATCCAAATCCCCCCTTCCCAATAGTCTTAAGAAGAGGCCCTAGACGAGGAAACGGAAGAAGAAACCGACGTCGAAGCAGTAGAGGATAACGCCGACTTCGAGGAAGAAGAAGAAGAGGAAGCTGCTAGATCAGATGATCTAGACGAAGAAGGAGACTATAGGAAAGCGGTAGAGCTGGAATACGCCTGCCTACCTACGCCTCCTCTTACGGAAGAAGAAGATCTAGAAGCAGCTTTCTTAGTCAGTCTTCCCGTCTCGACCCCTAAGGGGGTGGGAAAGGCACCTCTCTCGAAGGATTACCCGGCTGCCTTTTTATCCCTGCTTCGAGAAGCAAAGGAAGGTATAGGGCCCGATACGAAAGAAGACTAGTTTCTCCCCTATTTCGATCGTTTTTCCGACTTCTACCTAACACCAATAGAAGACGGTTCCTACGGAGCGTTCACAGCAGGCCGGCTTTTCAAGCCAGTATCAGCAAGGAAGGTACATAAAAGAGACCTCCCGGACCCACCAGCAAACCAGAAGCAGCTAGAAAGACACCCCTTTAGAGACTAGTTTTTCCAGGCCCAGAAAGACCACCTAGCCTCATACGAAGAAATGGGGTCTTTCGAAGAGGTCCTTAAGGAAAAGGCAAGAGGAAAACAGGTCCTTAGCTGCAAGTGGGTCTTTATCTATAAGACTGATAAACACGGCTTCCTTTAAAAGTGCAAGGCCCGGCTAGTTGTCTATGGGAATCAACAGGAAAAAGGGGATTTACCTACTAGGGCAACCACCCTAGCTAGGATGTCTTTTCGGACCCTTATAGCTATAGCAGCAGAATTTAACCTCGAACTCGATTAGATAGATGTAGTCAACGCCTTTGTTAACTGCCCACTCGAGGAAGAAGAAGTTATCTACATGCGCCTTCCACCAGGCTTCTAATAGCTAGGAAAGGTTCTACGGCTTAGGAAAGCTCTATACGGACTACGAAGATCACCCCTTCTTTGGCAACAGCATTTAACAGGTTCCCTCGAAGCCCTAGGCTTTAAGAAAGTCCCTTAGGAACCGTGTATAATGCAGAAGGGTAAAATCACGGTCTTCTTCTACGTCGACGACATTATCTGGGCCTACCCGAAAGAGGAAGAGGCTGATGCTAGGGAGGCTATACGAGGCCTGCAACAAAGGTATAAGATGACTAGGCTAGGGGAGCTAAAGTGGTTCCTAGGGATACGAATCCTTAGGAATAGGTCCTAACGGACAATCTAGCTTACCTAAGACGCCTATATCGACAAGGTCGCTTATAAATTCCTCCCTAATTCCCTCGATAAGAAGCTTCCCTCTACGCCTATGTTAGACGAAGAGCTTTTGCCTAATCCGTCCTTTTAAGCTAGGGAGCAAGAGAAACACTAATATTAATAGAAGGTGGGCTCCCTGCTTTTTTCAGCTATTTCTACTAGACCGGATATCTCTTTTACGGTCTCCTAGCTAGCTAGGCACAACCAGAATCCTAGCCCTAGGCATTAAGAAGTAGCAGACACAGCTATCCTTTATCTCTATTTAACGAGATCATATAGTCTGCGCCTAGGAGGGCAGGGAAGGAATCAAGCTGCCGAAATCTTCCTCTATTCGAGCGATTCGTCCTTTGCGGACAATTCCTTAGACAGAAAGAGCTTATAGGGGTATATTATGTCCCTTTTTAGAGGAACCATTGCTTAGAGAGCTTCGAAGCAGGCTACCGTTATAACTTCTAGTACGGAGGCAGAGCTACTAGCTCTTTTAGAAGCGTTAAAAGAAGCGATTTTCCTTAGCCGGCTACTAATATCGTTACGACTGTAAATTCCGTCCCCGTTAGCTATAGAATGCGATAACACGTAGACTATACGAATTCTTACGGAGGAAAACAGCAAGCTATCGACCCGGCTACGGCATATCGATATCCACTAGTATTAGTTACGCTAAGAGGTCTAAAGGGGACGTATTTCCGTCCGTTGGGTTCTAACGGCATCGATAAAAGCCGACGGTCTTACGAAGCCCCTGCCGAAGCAGAAGCTGGCTGTCTTTTTACAGTAAATAGGGCTAGAAGACGTTCGAGAAAAGCTGTCCTTAGAGGCCCGCCTTAAGAGTCTACGAGAGGAGCTAATAGCACGTACGAGAAGGTGACGTCTGCAGCCGAAGAAAAGGAAGAGGTTTTTCCCTTTAGAGGGCCCCCCTATTTTAATTAGGTTTTTTCCCTTCTAAGAAGGCCCCCCTTTCTTATAGGACTTTCCCCTCTTTAGGCCCCTTTTCCTTAAGTAGGTCTAAAGAGCCCAGGGACCAAAGGGCCCCTGCTCTCGAGTAAAGGAGAAGTGCAGAGCTAAGAACCTCCTCTATACGCTCACTAGCCTGAAGCCGTATTAGCTATGCCCTTACTATTAGGGCAGGCCATAGCTAAGGGGTGTGTCGAAGCGTGGCCTGATTTCGCAGTTCTCGGAGATATCCTTAGCAAGAGGGTCTAAGGAAGCTGAAAAACACCGGTGTGGAAGAAGGAAGAAGGAGCTAAAGAGGTGCAGAAAGGAGGGTGGGGCATGAGGGGAAGCAGAAGTAGCGATGGCTTCCTATAGAGGTGGCGAGAGATAAGACGGATGTGCGGCAACGGCTGGAAAGGAGGAAAAACCGGCAAAAGCTCGGTAGTCGAAAGGACATTAGTGGCTTCTTTAAGCAGGATCTTCTTTGTTAATTGAGATGCTAGAAGGGTATAAAGAGGGCGTTGGATAGAGGAAAGAAGGACAATCAAGGAAATACAACAATCACTCCCCTACCTTTATTGCTGCCCCCGCAAGAATCAAATCCCTCTGCCCTGCCTGTCCGACCCCTTACTTCTAATTTCACCTTCGTGCATTTTTATGCACTTCTCGTATCTCTCTTCGCGAGAATTATATTAGTATATAGAAGAGGTATTAAAGTTAATAATTCTATCTCTATCTACTAGCAGATATACTATCTTATATAGATAATTATAGCTAAATAGAAGAACCTTTCGGGACTAGATTTAGGCTACTATATAGCTATAAGACTAAGGAATTTAGTAATACCTTAAGTATATTAAGAAGTATCTTAGTTCTACTAATATTTATATTTAAAGGAGGTTAGTTATACCGGTATTCTTAAGAGGTCTTAGCTAGTATTCTAAGCTAGGTCTATTTCTTCGAATTCCGATTATATAATAACTAGTAAACCGTTTAATATATAATAATATATAAAATAACGAGCGATTCTTATACTATAATATAGGGTTTTATCTATAATTAATATACTACTTATTAGCTTATATAATCGGGAGAGTATATTATAGCTGCCTTAGTTATAGTAGGAACACCGTTCCTTATATTAAGGGACTAGAAAACGTTATTAAAAAGTCTCTTAAAGAGGACCCCTTATTATAGAAGAAGATAGATAAGATTTAGGTTACTAAAAAATAGTAACTAATAACGCCGCTACCTTTATATAAGCTATAAAATTAAGAAAAAGTCGTTAGTATAGTAAATCTAGTATTTATCTTCCCTATAGATTAATAAGGCTAAGACTAACTATTAGAGCTATTTAATTATCCCCTATAAAAATTAGCTCTCTTTAACTTTAGTACTTCCCTTAATATCTATAATATTATTACGGAGTAGGCAGAGGCGTGCGCGTAGGTGCCGTCCGTAGGATAATGTTAACAAGCTATGCAGAGCTCTCCTATACGCGGCTAACCCGTATATATACGTGCGGGATCCGGCCCTCCGCACGTAACTACACGGCTTAGGCCGTAGCCTAAGCCTATAACCTATAATAGTTAAAGACTCTTATATAATGCCCTCCCTCGAGCGCGGCGCGGCGTTGCCCTATTAACGGCTTCCGCACTATAGGGCCCGTGCCGCTAGCTCTACCCTGCCCTTTTCCGTTAATCGTGCTGGCCCTACTAGCCCTATTATCCCCGCGCCTATTAGCCCGGGCAGCCGGAACCGGGCTCTATACTTATCGGCCGGCTGGCCGTTTAAATAGGGGCGCAACCTATTATATGCGCCCCTAGGTAGCCGGCGGCCGGCCCGGACCTACGTAAGCCTTAGGTTGCCCGTCCCCTCGGCCTTAGGCAGCCTCTTCTACCTAGGGGTATATAAGGCGGCATCCCCCCCTTCCTCCTTCCTTTCCTTCTCCTCCTTCTTTAACCGTAGCAGTAGCAGCAATAGGTAAGTTCCGCTCTACCCGGGGCGTTAGTTCGTTCCTAGCTATGCGGGCCGCTTTATTAACGTGTGCTCGCAGTAATAGCCGCAGCAGCAATAATAGCCCTAATAACAATAACTTTAACTAGTAAGTTCTCCGCCCTATAGAGCGGGAGGCCGTAATTCGTAATGCTAACTTCCGCGATAGACATATCTGCCTCCCCCTCCCCCGCTTCCTCCTTCTCGGAGCGTGCGGAGTCGTTCGTCGACGCCGTGCTAGGCACGGCCGACGACGGCTCCGCCGCTGCCGCTGCTCCTGCCCGCGCCCCCGCTCCCGCCCGCGCCCCCGCGACCGCGCCTACCGCCGCCGCCTCTGCCTCTGCTGCGCTGGCCGCCCTTACGTCGCCCTTCCGGGTAACGACGCCGTCCCCGCCGCCGGCCGTGACGCCCGGCCCCTCTGCCCCCGCCTCCGCCACTGCCACCCCCGTAAGTCCGCTGCCTAGCGAGCGTAGTGGCTATTTTCCGCTAACTTCTCAAAGCATAAACGCTAAGTGCAGGCCGGAGCCGCCCGCGCGGCCCCCTATATGCGGTGCGCGTCGCAGGAGCTCCCCTGCGCCGACTAAGTCGGGCGCCGCCGTGGCGGTAGTTGTTACTAGTGCGCGCGTGCCGGCCGCGCCTATAAGGCGGCGCCTCCCGTCCTGCTCGCTGCGGCGTCGGCTTAAAAGGCCGGCGCGCATGGGTAGGCACGGGGGGCTGCTAAGAATCGCCTTACCGCCGCCGCCGCCGCCTACCGCAATCTCCGCGCCCTCGAGCGCTAGGGCCTCGTCCCTAAGTAGGTTCCTCTTATCTAGCTCTTCTGCTTCCGCTGCTAACTCTCCCGGCACTAGGGACACTGCCTCCGTCGCCCTATCGGCGGTCCCCTTAGCCGTGCCCGCCCCCCCCCCCCCCCCCGCTGCTGGCCGGGCCCCCCCCGCCCCCGGAGCCCCCGGAGCCGCCGCTGCCGCCGACTAGCTCGCGGGCCTAGAGGGCCGCCTAAGCGCCCTAGAGAGCGCCGCCGCCGCTAATAAGGTAGAGGAGGACGACGAGGATAAGGATAAGGACGACGATAAGGATAAAGAGTAGGTCTAGGTAGTCTAGGGGCTCTGCCCTAAAATAAACGCTATTTTTATCTCTGCTTATATAATTACGCTCGCGTTATTATAACTACCTACTCCGCTTTACTTACTTCGTAGTCTTAGCCCGGGCTACTATCGGTGGTCCGCTAGTCCGTCGTTCTCGTCTACCGTTCTAAATAGGGCTTTAAACTTATCGAGGGCTGCGGTTCCCGTAAACTTATATATAGGTTCCTACGTAGGGTCGAGATACCCGCGCTACTTAACGAGGACCTCCTAGCGTTTCCCCCTACCGACCTTTTTCTAGCGCGCGGCCCGTATCTCTTCGACCTCGAACTCGTCTTCTCCCTCTACCTCGATTATAGGCGGTTAGGCGTCCGCTGCTTCTTATCCAGGCAGCGGGTCGGAGGAGGCTCTACGAAGGAGGTCTACGTTAATCTTATTATAGACCCCCGTTAGGAGACTATCGAGCTCTATAACCTATAGGCTAATAACCTTCCGTACCGTAAACTTCGCGTATAGCTAGTTAAGCTTCTTCTTTAATCGTGCCGACCTATAGTTACGGAGGTCTAGCTATACCTTATCTCCTACCGCGAACCTATCTACTAGGGCCCTAGTCTTATTAGCGTACTACTCTTAATCTTACGCCGCGGCGGCTATCGCGGATTAGCAATAATCCGTGGTCTCCTATAGCTTTTATACGAACGCGGAGGCGCGGCCCTCCGGTAACGAATTGCTATGCTGCTCCGCTACTACGTCTACGGTAAAGGGAACTAGTAAGGGTAGTTTAAAGCTATACGTTATAAAGAAAGGGGCTATCCTAATAGAGGTATATAGTCTACTATTTAACGTAAGTTAGGCCGCGGGGAGCCATCGGTCTTAGTCTACTTAGTTACGGGCTACGATAGCCTATAGGTAAGCCTACGCCTCTTAGTTAACCCTCTCGGGCCCTCCGTCGGTCTATAGGTAATATGCCGTGCTAAGCAGCTATATAATCTAAAGTAGCTAGTATAGGTGCTACTAAAAGCGGCTAGTCTAATTCGATCCCCTATCGCTTATAATAGAGGCTAGCTAGCTATACGAGCGGGCCTAGCACTATAAGAAGCGCTCTACGTAAGACTCTATATCTATAGACGGCATTAGCTCTAATACTATAGACTTACTAAGTCGGTCCTTAATTACCTATATATAGCGGTTGCCGCCCTCTATAAGTAGGAGGTCCGTTATAAAGTCTATCTATATATACGTATAGAACCGGTCGGGTACTAGAAGCTGCTTAAGCAGCCCTTTAAGCTACGCCCTCTAGATCTTCGTACGGCTATAGATATCGTAGTTACGGAGGAAGCGATAAACGTAGTGCTATAGGAGGGGCCAGTAAAAGTCCCTCGCAAGGCCTGCTACTATGCCCTGTCTGCCTAGGTAACCTACGACGCTAAAGTTATAGATAAGTTAGACTAGCCTCCCTTAGAGCTCGTTCTATTTATCTAGCTCCGGCGGTCCCTCCTTCTCCTTAGCTTCCGTGGTATATAGTGCGCCCGGTACCTATAGTCTCCCCCGCTAGCGTAGATGCCCCCGTAGGTCGATATAGCAGTCGGCCACCTATACCTTTAGCTTTAGCTTCGGATCTAAGCGTCGAGCGCCGGACTTAACGGCGCGGCGCACGCCCTCGTAGGTGCGGTCTAGAGCCGCTATCCTATCCTATAAGCGTTAAAGGGCCTTATCTTAGAACACTCTCGCCGCGCGCGCCCCTAGGCCGGTCTATCCCTCCTCGCCGGACCGAGGCAAGGGCGCGGGGGGAAGCTTATTCGCTAATACCGCGTCTTCCTCTACTAGGGAAGCTCCTATATAAGTCCGTAGTACTTCCTATAGGATAAGCTATAGATCCCGGGCCTCGATATCCGCTCCCGTCGGCCGCTCTTAATCCCTCTAGGAAAGCGCGTCTAGGACCGCGAAGTCCCGCCTAGGGCGGTACTTAATCGAGAAGTTAAAGCGTAAGAGATACTCCGCCTAGCGGGCTTACCGCTCCGAGAGGTGCTAGCGAGTTATAAAGTACTCGAGGTTCCTATAGTCTATAAGAACCTCGAAGCTCTTATAGCTCTAGAGCTCCGCTTACTATTGCTTAAGGTAGCTAATAATCGCTAGTATCTCCTTATCGTAAATAGCGTAATTCCGCTCTACTAAGGTTAGCTTACGGGAGTAGAACGCTACCGGTTGCTTCCGCCCGTTTACCTCCTAAGAGAGCGTTCCTCTAAGTGCCTAGCCGCTATAGTCCGCTTTAACTAACGTAGACCGGTCGAAGTCCTACTAGAGCAGTACCGGGGCTTAAGAGAATAGGTCCTTAAGTATACGGAACGCTCCTTCTTATACGGGCCCCTAGCGAAAGGCGGTCTACTTCCCGGTAATCTCGTTTAGGGGCATTATAATATAGGAGAAGCCCCTAATAAATATCCTATAATAGTTCGCGAACCTAAGGAAGCTCCGTACGCTTATCTACGTAGTTAGGGCAGCCTAGTCCCGAATCGCCTAGATCTTTACGGGGTCCGCCTATATGCCTACGCCTACGTAGATAATAAAGCCTAGGTACTTAACCCTCTTAACCCTAAATTCGCACTTATCCGGGTCGAGGTAGAGCTTATAAAGTTAGAGGCGCTCTAGGACCCTCCGTACTTTCCGTATATAGTCCTCGTAGGAGCCGCTTATATAGATAAGGATATTATCTATATATATAGAGGCGAACTTATCGAGGAAGTCCTAAAGCACGTTATTAATATAACGCTAGAAGGTAGCGGGCGCTCCTAAGAGGCCGAAGAGCGTTATAAGCTACTCGAATAAGCCGTAGCGTATACGGAACGCCGTCTTCTACTCGTTACCCTCCGAGATCCGTACCTTATAAAACGCTTATTTTATATCTAGCTTCGTAAACTACTTCGCCTTCGAAAGGTTATAGAGCGTATCCGAGATTAAGGGCAAGGGGTAGCGGTCTAGCCTCGTAATTGCGTTTAGGGCCCTATAGTCGTAATAGAACTATATCCCGCCCCTTAGTTTACGCACGAATAGGACCGGCGCTCCTACTTCGGAGCTACTTACTTAAATAAAACCCTTATCTAAGAGGTCCCTTAGCGTCTTCTTTAGCACTAGTAGCTCCGCGTATAATATACTATATAGCGGTCTAAACGGTGCGGGCAGTTCCTGCCCCTTTTTATCGGTACGGAGTACGATCCTATAGTCTACCCTCGGCTTATACGGGTTAAGCTTATCCGCTTCCTAGGACTCGAATAGCGGTAGGAGGTCGTAAAAGCGCTCCGGTATCTATTACCGTAGCTTAGAGGGCGACTTCGGCTTCTTCGTCTAGAGGGCCTTATCGATGTCCGCTAGGCTAACTACGTAGACCGCTGCGTTAGCCGCTGCCCGGCCTTGCCCCCGCTCTACCCGTCGCACGGTTCCTACGAAGATAGAGGCAAGGACTTCTTATACCGAGTATAAAGCTCGCACGCCTAGTCCTACGCCTACGGAACCGTCGTCGTAGCGGACCTACCGTTATATAGGCCTAAACTATAGCTTCCTTTAATATAGAACCGAGTATAACTCTATATATAATAACTAGGGTTTCCTAAGGATTAAGGGAAACTCTAGTTAAGGGATTATATAGGCTACGATAAGCTTATAGCAACCGTCGACCTTTATAGCTAGCTATATAATGCCCTTAATTACCGCACCCTCTATCGCGCCTAAGGCGCCCTTTACTCGCCTTAGGGCGATCTTTTCTACTAGCACTTATATCTCTCGCGTAAGCGCCTCGTTAACTACGGCGTAGCACTAGCAGCCCTCGTCTATAAGGGCGGCAACGGGTAAGGAGTTATTAATTATAACCTATATTAAAGTAGGCTCCTCTTCTATATAGGCGGATAATTCTTCCTTCTCCTTTACTAGTGCTAGTAATTAGGGCTCCGGAGCCCGTCTTTGCTCTAGAGCTATTCTTTTTCCTCCGGGCCTAGGGGGGCGGAGTCCTCCTTATCGTCTAAGGCGAGGAGCGGTTCTATCTTCGCTACTTAAACCGCTACGGGCCGCTTAGCTAAAAGGAAGGGGCATTTTAATATAAAGTGCGTAGATGCTCCGCAACGTAGGCAGCGGCCGTTAGCCTTCCTCTTCCCGATTTCCTCGCTCGTTACCTACTTCGCCCGCTGCTTAGAGTGCGGGGCGGTATAGGGGGTAGTCGACGGCGTCTTCTTGCCGCGTCTAGCCCGGTCCGTGCGGGTAGCCGATATTAGGGTATCCCCGTCCGTGTCGATAGCCGGTTATTTATCTTACGGAGGGGCGGTGATCCCGTCGCCGCTATACGGCGTGCGCTTATAGAGCTTCTAGAAACGCGGCGTCTGCTCGTAGCCCTAAGCTACCTTTATTAACCGGCTTATGTACTCGCTATAGTTAGTAGGCATAATTATAGGGATAAGTAGCTCCCGTAGGGCCGGCGTAATCGAATTCTATAGCTATATAAGCTTTATGCTATCTTC